TTATTGTCGTGTGCTAGTGACATCCGCTGTGTATCGTATCTTAGCTTGAAGGTATCGCAGTGAGACGAGCTAGAGAAGGTTTCAGTGTTATTAGAGAAACCTTAAATACAAAATTCCGAGGAATTAGCAGTAAACAGTGAAGAACTCTGTATCGTGTACCGGCATGCCGTGTAACACCGTGTACCGTCGTATCCTGTTGTACTGCTCCAGTAAGGAGGGCGTCGTACCGTTTTCCAGCTGTGTCTGTGTGTGATCTGTTGTGGGCGCACCCCTAGGCTGCCTTAAGCGGCGTGTCCGTGCCACCTGGTCTTTGTGTGTGGAGCTATTCTTGTGTTCTAGGACCCCCATTCTCCAACCGACCACGTGTACGAAGTGAGGATGCCTACTTCATCACCCAGCAGCAGCAGCTGCAGCAGAGTGGGATTGAGGTTGATGTGTATGTATGTGTAATGTGTGTGGTGGACCCATGAGATTGATGTAAGTACACAGTTTCCGTTTTGGGTAATAAAACTCTGAAGCTGGGTTTGCAATCAGTGTTCCGTCTGTTCTCTGTCCCTGTCTACCACCTGGTGAGGTGAATGGGAATTGGAGACATGTGAGTTTACCCTGTTTGAGAAACTGTAGGATAAAGCAGAGGCAAAAATCATTTAAAAATACTTTACTTTAAAAGTAAATTAAACAAATTACAAAAATATCCAGGCTTGGCTTTAGTTCAAAGTGTGCAAAACAAACAAGATGAATAATCAAATTTACGTTACTTTAACGTGCAAAATAAAATATGGTGCAAAATACTATAAGCTAGTCATACTAAATTTGTTACCACACCAAGATGTGTTAACAGGTCTACTCAGTTGAGCACACAGGAGTAATCTAACTCATGTTGAGCGAGAATGCCCTATTTATATAAAATATCGGCCGGGCAGATGGCGCTGGTGACTTCTTTAACAATTAACCGGCTGTTAAACTGCTTGTTTCGGAGGGCGTGGTCTCCCGGCAACCCAGGTGCGAGGTGGGGCGATGGGCAGTGGTGCAGGGAGGAGACTGGTATACTGTCTAGACGTCTGGTAGTTGTTATTGTTGTTCTTGGCTGCAGTTCTTGATTAAATAGATGTGAATGAGTAGAATCGGTGATAATGGATTAGGCCGAATCTCTTCCTTGGAGATTTTACCGTGACAGTTTCCATTTTCTCTGTGTGCCGTGTAAGTAATTCGCTGTAATTTGATTCCCTTTTTCAGCAATGAAAGTGGTAACAGGGAGGTTTCCCTTGGTTATAAATAATTCTATTATTATATTGGTCAGCACTTATTTTACTGTTGTATTGTGGTAAAGTTGTGAATTATTGGTGGATAATTTACTGGGGAAGTCTTTTACAAGTTTTGCCGTGAGTAGCAGGGATGTACTGTGATGTACTGTGTTGTACCGTGTTTAAACTGTAGACAAGTTGTGTCCTTGGTAAAATGCATTGTGTACTGTGAAGGATTCCTTGAGAATTAAAGTCATGTAACGTCACCGGGGTTCACAATTTACTTAACAAGGTCATTGTTGTTTTGTTGAACATTGTTGTGATTACCGTAGAGACGTGTATCAGCAATAGTCAAAGAGAAGTTCACACAGTGGAGGAATTGTCAAGTGAAGACTAACGTAGTGTTAACGATTTAACGAGCTGTCGTTAATTGGTTGACTAACGTAAGGGGTTGACCGGTCTGTTATGATCGGAGTCAATTGGGTCGTAATTAAGCTGTTGTAATTTGTTGGAGTGATCAGATCTGTCTGCGGACAGAGTGATTAAGCTCTCGTAGCTAATTAAGGAAAATTAGTACCCGCCACTTAGGGAATTCACCAGGTGTTGATGTTGATGTTGTTGTTTACACGGAGTGTCTTGTAACCTTCTGTGGTACAGTAGTCTACCCCTCGTTAAGGCAATCTTGTTGTAAGACCGGAAATGAACTGTCAGTTGAGAGACAGTAGACTTATCAATACTCGTCTGAATTAATAGGCTGTTGTTTTCAGTAATTAATTGGGAATTACCGAATGCTTAACTTTCAAGTTGATGTAATTATTTGATTTACGAGTTATTGCTGCCATTTAGTGTCGTTGAGACACGTGTGTGTGTTAACGTAATTGTTTAAATTCAATTAGTATAACTCTTGGTATTGATTGCCCTGAGAGGCAAGTGTTAACGTAAGATTTTTTATAAGGGATTATCATTCTTGGATCAACCGCCTTGTTACTTGGTACCTCGTTAGTAGAGCAGCGAGCACCAGTCAAATTTGGTGATTATAGTACTTGAATACCGTGAAGACGTGACAATACTGATTGCAAGCTTGCGTCACCAGTGGGCACCACTTTGTTCAGTTAGTGTCATTATTCAGTCAGCGACGACGGGATAAGGATACCGTGGGTCCATCAGCCTGTTGTATAGCTGTTTTTAATGCCCCACTGAAGTGACAGTAAAGAAACGTAAACTCTTTGTTGTAGTAGTTCTAGTTTTTTGTGGATAAATTGTTATATTATAGCAAACGGTCGTTTACGTCAAACCTTCCAATATTACTGCATCACATTTCATGTTCTGCAACGATTCTCACTTCTATAAATAACGAGGTGAGAATCCGTCGGCTCCCCATTATTAGTTTTTTAACTAGGAGGAGGCAGCGACCTAAGTGACAGGTGTTACCCGAGTGGTTTCGCCTGGCGGTTTGCTCCCGCGGTCCTATGATCTTAGGCTTTAAGATTAAATATCTGCCACTGGCAGCTCTTGCTGTTTAAGGTCTGCCTCTCTTGCGAGGTAGTTACGATTAACGTAACATCAATAGGAATTAATTCTTTTGATAATTTTCAAAGAAGAAAAAAAATCTCACGCTAACCACAGGTGATAATGGGTCTGACACTGTCCACAGATGATAATGGAACGGACACTGACCACAAAAGATAATGAGCCTGACACTGCTTACAAGTGATAATGGGGGCTGACACTGACACCAGGTGATAAAGGGGCTGACACTGTCCACAGTTGATAATAGGGGTGAAACTTTCCACTGGTGATAATGGGGCTGACACTGACCACAGGTGATAATGGGGCTGACACTGACAACAGGTTATAGTGAGGCTGACAATGATCACAGGTGTTATTGGGGTTGACAATGTCCACAGGTGATATGAGGATGAAACTGACCACAGATGATAATGTGGCTGTCTCTGACCGCAGGTGATAATGGGGCTGACACTTTCCACAGGTGTTAGTGAGGCTGACACTGACCACAGGTGATAATGGGGATGACAGTGTCAACAGGTGATAATAAGGCTGACAATGGCTGCAGATGATAATGGGGCTGACACTTTTCACAGGTGATAATGTAGCTGACACTAACCGCAGGTGATAATGGGGCTGACACTGAAACCAGGTTATAATGAGGCTGACACTGTCTACAGATGATAATGGGGCTGACACTGACCACTGGAGATAATGGGGCTGACAATGTTCAAAGGTGATAATTGGGCTGACAGTGTCAACAGGTGATAATGGGGCTGACAGTGTCAACAGGTGATAATGGGGCTGACACTTGCTACAAACGATAATGGGGCTGACACTAACCACAGGTGATGATGGAGCTGACACTGGCCACAGGTGATATTGGGGCTGACACTGACCACAGGTTATAATGGGACTGACACTTTTCACAGGTCATAATGGTTCTGACACTGACCACAGGTGATAATAGGGCTGAGACCATCCACAGGTAATTATGCGGAATACACTGACCACAGGTGATAATGGGTCTGACACTGACCACAGGTAATAATGGGGTTGACATTGACCACAGGTTATAATGGGGCAGACTCTGATCACAGGAAATATTGGGGCTGACACTGTCCAGAGGTGATAATGGGGCTGACAATGTCCCCAGGTGATAATGAGGCTGATCCTGTCCACAGGTGATAATGGAGCTGACAATGTCCACAGGTGATAATGGGGCTGACAATGCCCACAGGTGATAATGGAGCTGACACTGACCACAGTTGATCATGGTGATGACAATGTCGACAGGTGATATTGGGGCTGACACTTTCCACAGGTGATAATGGTGCTGACACTGACCACAGGTGATAATGGGGCTGGCACTGTCCACTTGTGATAATGGGGCTGACACTGAAACCAGGTTATAATGAGGCTGTCAATGACCATAGGTGATAATGGAGCTGACACTGTTGTCAGGTGAAAGTGTGGCTGAAATTTACAACATGTGATAATGGGGCTGACGTTGTCCACAGGTTGAGGACCTCCGCGGGATGAGGGAGCCCGTCAAGAGGCTGGTGGAGGCAGGCCGGGTATTCGCCGTCCAGGAAGACCAAGATGGCAGCCGCTCCGCCAGGATAACTTTACAAGACGGACAGCTGTACCTCCACCCATTCCTGCGTCAGCCCACGCCCGCCAACGCCCACACCCTCCAGGTTACTTTATTACACCCACTAGTCTTACTCACATTACTGACTTATTGAGTTTTGGTAATTAATATGATAACATTTTGTTATACAGTACTTTCCTGCCCGAAACCCTTTGCGTAATAGTGGCTTTAGGCATTGTATGTATTAGCTCTACCTATAAATCTATCAATTTTTGTAAAACCTCTTGTATGTATGTACTTTACCTGAATAAAGATTTCTTCATTTATTTACTTATTTATTTATTTATTTATTTATTTATTTATTTATTTATTTATTTATTTATTTATTTATTTATTTATTTATTTATTTATATATTTATTTATTTATTAGTTATCAGCATGATTTATTTCATTTTCTGCAGGAGAGTGAGGTTGTGGGCGTGCTGGAGCCCTCCTGCACCCTGGCGTTCCTTGACCTCGGGTGGGCGGGGTCAACAAGAGGGCGGGTCACCATCCGGCTGACCCCTGACACTCCGCTGGCCAGACAGTTTAGGTTGTTGTGTACGGGCCAGCGGGGCCACACCTACCGCAACACTAAACTGTTTAAGGGGATCGTGATGGAGGAGGGTGAGCCGGGGGAGTTTGTGATGGGCGGAGACTATGAGAGTAATGATGGTGAGAGAGCAGCTCCACTGCTGCCTGACCTCAAGGGGCGGTATCGGAAGTCAGGCTGGGCAGGAGCTGTGTGGTGCTGTGAAAAAATTCGGGGCTGTAAGAGTGCCCACTTCGCCATCACCATCAGGGACCACAAGGGTGGTGAAGTGTGGAGCTCTGTCTTCGGTGAAGTAGTGCTCGGCCTGGATGTGGTGAGGGAAGCAGCCAACCACTTTGGCATCACGGAGGTGACTGTGGTGGACTGTGGTGTTGTGCTGCCACTCTAGTTCACTGTACCACCACCGTCACTACTGTGGTGTTGTGCTGCCACTCTAGTTCACTGTACCACCACCATCACTACTGTGGTGTTGTGCTGCCAATCTAGTTCACTGTATCACCACCGTCACTACTGTGGGTGTTTTGCTGTCACTCTAGTTCACTGTACCCCCTCCATCACTACTGTGGTGTTGTGCTGCCACTCTAGTTCACTGTACCACCACTATCACTACTGTGGTGTTGTACTGACACTATAGTTCACTGTACCACCACCACCACTACTGTGGTGTTGTGCTGCCAATCTATTTCACTGTACCATCACAACTGTGGTGTTGTACTGCCACTCTAGTTCACTGTACCACCACTATCACTACTGTGGTGTTGTACTGACACTATAGTTCACTGTACCACCACCACCACTACTGTGGTGTTGTGCTGCCGCTCTAGTTCACTGTACCATCACCATCACTATTGTGGTGTTGTGGTGCTGTAACGGTTTCTTCCGCTCCCGTGCTTCTCCTCCCTTCCCTCCCATCCTCTCTCCCCTTTCCTCCCTCTCCACCTCCCTCCCTTATCCATTCCCTGGACAGCGGGGCATCTTATCATGACAGGTACTGTAAACATGAATCACAGGTTTCTTGTTGATGTGGTCACAAGCTTGGCCTTCTTCCCAACAGCTGGTGAATCAACTATTTCCAGTTCGTGGGAAACCCCCATCCTGGCATTTGGTTTCCCACGTTCAGGGCTTGGCACACCATTGGTTGAATGCCATGGGCACCCAAGTTTAGATTAAAATTACTGGGTAGACCTAAGAATAGGCAGTGATTAGAGAGCCAGAGAAGATTTTGTGGGTGGAGTCAATCTTCTCTGGTAGGTTCCTGGACACAAATTTAGTTAGTGTGGCTTGCGGGAATTGGTGGAGCAGAGGTCAACACCACACCTTAGGAGAGCCACACCATCTGGGCGGGTTAGTGTAACTTGAGGGGAGTGCTGGGGCAGAGGTCAGCACCACACCTTGGGAGAGCCACACCATATTGGTGGGTTAGTGTAACTTGAGGGAGTGCTGGGGCAGAGGTCAACACCACATCTTAGGAGAGCCACACCATCTTGGTGGGTTAGTGTAACTTGAGGGGAGTGCTGGGGCAGAGGTCAGCCCATTGCAGGAAAACGGTAGAGTGCTTTGTAGAGCTATGCTCACTTAGTAGTGTCCACTCCCATCACCTCAAAGATTGGAATTATTAGACTAGAATGTATTTAAGTGCCATTTTTTTATCAATACAAGTCAAATAGTGTTCTTATGTGTATTTCATATTTTCCTTAATTTTTGTCTGAGTCATAGTCTTCCCAACAAACGGTGTACATTCCCTGGGATCCTCCTAGTTCTCCTTTGGATATTTAATATTTTCCCTTGTCTTGAGTAAGCAATTTAAAAGAAATTCCACCCATCCATTCCAGTAATTAAATTCCAAGGACCTGCTACAAATATGTTAATTGACCTCTCCTGGGTCAATTAGTTCATTAATTGAACTAATTAATTGAACTCCTGAATTAATTATGTAAAGTGGTAGCAGTTTTAAATATTAAGTTGATGGCAGCAGTGATGTTCCAATGGTAAGTACGATTTTTGCAGTGGTGAACAAAGCTGGTGTTACAATAGTGGCTTGGCTGTGGTTCAGTAATATTTTTCAGTAATAAGGCTCACATATATATTCCATTATGTCGTGTTAGTAGTTAAGCATAGGAGTTAAGTGTAGTGATTTAAAGGTAGTTATTTACATGTGGTGGGTTAAAGATGTCGCTCTAAGTTTTTGAACGGGGTATAATACTCGACACCCCCCCCCCTTCAATCGATTCAAGGATGCTGGGTAGTACCATATACTCAGCAGCAGTTCCGGAGTTTGAGCTGTCGTGGCTGAAATATCCGTGGGACGCCATTAGATGTATCTGGGAGGCGTTAACAGACGATCCAAAGCGCTTAACTCGGAGGAAATATCGCGAAGGTGAATAAAACAATGAATGACGAAGTATGTAGACCACTAGAAATGCATTGACAGTAGTGATCGAACACTAAAATTTGGTCAGTTTATTCGCATACGTCTAGCTGTGGGCGTGAAAGTTGTTTGCTCTTATTGCCGGACGTCAGATTGGTAGCTTAGGCTTAGGTACAGCAGAGCAAACTTGTAAGGACGGCTATAATCCTAATATAACTAGTTCCCCAAATTAAGTGACCCGCTTTAATTAAGTAGCCCCATTTAATTAAGTGATTCCCCTGTGTTAAGTGATTACATTATAATTAAATGTTTCCCCTGGAATTAAGTGTTTTCCCTTTTTGTTAAGTGATTCCAGTATAAGTGCCCCTTAATTATTAAATTTGTCATGGTTATTTTTGTGCTCTCTTAGAATTAGTTTGAGTCAGGTGTAAGTTTTCTTAATGGTTGGATTATTATATATATATATATATATATATATATATATATATATATATATATATATATATATATATATATATATATATATATATATATATATATATATATATATATATATATATATATATATATATATATATATATGTCGTACCTAGTAGCCAGAACGCACTTCTCAGCCTACTATGCAAGGCCCGTTTATATAAATCGGGCCTTGCATATTAGGCTGAGAAGTGCGTTCTGGCTACTAGGTACGACATATATATATATATATATATATATATATATATATATATATATATATATATATATATATATATATATATATATATATATATATATATATATATATATATATATATATATATATATTGGTGTATACTGGCAGCAGGTTTTCTTTCAAACATGTTTCATTGAATATGACCGCATATTCTGTATTTATTATTTTCTGGTTTAGGGCTTCTATCCCTCTAACTATTTTCTTAGCATCAGGGCTTAATTGAAATAGGAGTTCTCCAAAACTCATTTTCGTACTTTTAAGGTGAAGAAAAGAAGTGATTTACTATAGAGTGTATTACACTTATTTGTATAATTTGCACGTCGTGCAAATTATACAAATAAGTGTAATACACTCTATAGTAAATCACTTCTTTTCTTCACCTTAAAAGTACGAAAATGAGTTTTGGAGAACTCCTATTTCAATTAAGCCCTGATGCTAAGAAAATAGTTAGAGGGATAGAAGCCCTAAACCAGAAAATAATAAATACAGAATATGCGGTCATATTCAATGAAACATATATATATATATATATATATATATATATATATATATATATATATATATATATATATATATATATATATATATATATATAGCCCTGTTGCTTATGCAACAGGGCTCCATTAAGGAACATATAATCTCTTCCCACAACCAAACCATCGTCAGAGAAATCCTAGTAAACAACACAGAAATCATCGATAGATACAGCGATAGCAGGCGGCTTGACGTTTGCGAGGCACTACACATCAAGAAGTCAACACCAGCAATCAACAGCCAATTATTGCACAACTATATTCTACCCACCTCAAGACTCCGCTCCAATATAGAAGCATCAAGAAATATGGACCAATAGGCTTTCTACAAACACTTCTATTCAATATCCATTGTTTTGCGTTCTGTCTTGTGTTGATGAAATTAATACCCTATTAATACTCTTGTTCTGTCTTGTGTTGATGAAATTAATACCCTATTAATGCCACATCTTGTTCTGTCTTGTGTTAATGCCACATCACCCCTTCCACCTCACTCAAATGTAGATATAAAATCGGAGATGCGTAAGTTCTATTCAGTTGTGTATTTGTGAACTAAAGTCTTTGAAAATGTAATAAGCTTTACGAAACGCGCTCGTGTCGCGTCAGACTAGAAATAAAAATGAATTTTGGAGAATTGATTTTTGATTTACCTCCAAAGGTGAAAAGAAATGTACGAAAGATTGAGAAAATTCGTGTTAGAATTATTAATCTTACTTTTTCGGTCATATTTAATAATATATATATATATATATATATATATATATATATATATATATATATATATATATATATATATATATATATATATATATATATATATATATATATATATATATATATATATATATATATATATATATATATATATATATATATATATATATATATGTCTCCGCCCAGGAGAGACAAGTCATTAGCAACCTCTGTAATCAGGGCTCTTAATGAATTCCCCAGAGCAGACAACCTGGTCCGCCTCCCCCCTCGTGCCAAGGACACCAGCCGCAGGACGACCAACAATAACTCATCTGAGAACCACAAAATGAGAGCACAGATCACCAGGAAAATAGAAGAGGGCAATACCACAGGTGCCATCAGAATCATGACCAGCGATGACACTATTGCCCCCAGGAACGCCACGACAGCAGAGGCTCTTCAAGACAAACACCCACCCAGAGCCCCCGACAGCAGCAGGGATCCCCAGGAAAACAATGCTGGCATAGAACCCTTGACTGTTCGAGAATCTGAGGTGTACAAAGCAGCCATGTCTTTCCCAACAGGTTCAGCAGGGGGCTTTACAGGCCTAAGACCCCAACACATCAAACAAATGCTGAACCCGGTGCTTGGAGATACTGCAAAGGACCTTCTAGTGGAACTTACCAGATTCTCCAACATGTGTTTGGCTGGCGGCATCCCTGAGGACATCAGGCCTGTCTTTTGTGGAGCAGCACTCTGTGCTCTAAAGAAGAAGGATAGGGGTATCAGGTCCATTGCCGTTGGCAACACCCTCCGACGCCTCGTAGCTAAGGCTGGAGTGAGATCTATCAGCCAGGAAGCAGCCACCTTGCTGAAACCTCATTAGCTCGGGTTTGGGATCCACCTAGGTTGTGAAGCTGCAGCACATGCAGCGCGGGCTTACATTGCTGATCTCCCGGACCAGAAGGCACTAGTAAAGCTTGACTTCAAAAATGCCTTCAATCAAGTCAGACGAGACGCTGTCCTCAGGGCTGTACACA